ATCACCATTCATAAATATTTAACAGCTGGAACACACCAGACTGCCGGAGACTGGAAAACAGACGGGCACAGGCGCACAAGGTCATTAGGATGTGAGAAGAAAATGCAAACCACCCTCAGGATAATGTGTGACAGGCAGGATACAAAGAGACACCCCCACTGGAGCATCCACTGCCAGCGGTAACGGCCATTCTGATGAGCCGGTCTCTGCTTCGGAGACGTTCTCCCAGCTCCGTGCCAGCCACAAATGACATTCACGTGCAGGGACGGCCCTGGAACGTCTCTCGACCCTGAGGGCAGCATGGTGCTGGGGAGGGGTGGCCGCACGGCCCACACCTTTCGCTCACAGGCAAGAGAGGCTGTGCGGACCCCTCAGGTCTCAGCTCTCTGTCATCGTAGCCACAAAGCACAGAGGGCAGGAATGAGCTCTGGTGCAACCTTCCTGTCACTGGCCTAACTATGGCCCCTCCACCTTGCAGGATGGGAAGGACAGCACTAAGAAGTGGCGCCCGCAGCACCCTGACATGCCTCTCTGCACAGGTGAGTGGGAAAGCGCAATCGAAAAAATGTTTAGGTTAGTTAATTTGAGAAACGCCTCAGCCAGTGTTTATTCTCAGCATAAATACACCTCCAATTAATTAAACGACTGCTTTCCTTGTTGACACTGCCCTCTCCGGAAGCCTAGGCTTTTGGCCGCCACTGGGTGATTCATCCCACCGTCCCTGCGTGGCAGAGTCCTCCAGAACCCTCTCCCCAGGCAGCAGTTACCTAGCAACCAGCCTAGCAACCTTGCAGCCAAGAGATTAATCCCGGAGTGATAATCATGAAGCAACATCCCAAAAGACATTTCCTTTCAAGGATGCCATCCAAAGGCCGATGAGGATGAGGTGCTCCTGAGCTACAAAAATTAGAGACAAAGGGGGACGTATTACTTACGTGACGCTTCAACATCCGACAGGCGAGATTTCATTCCTGAGATTCACACCGAGATGGAAAGGACTCAGATGATGGCTGGGCTAGGGAGCCTCTCAGAAGCTGTCCAGTCACCAACAGGACGAGGAAGACCCTGTCCCAACCGCAGCTGTGACTGAGCCCTGGTAGGAGGGGTGCACACGGCCAGGGAGGGCACGTCCTCCGTCTGGACCCTCCTCCGCACGTGCGCCTCAAGCACGGCGTGCCCCCACACGGCCCTCAACCAGTGCAAGCGCCACGTGGCAGCGGCACGCCTCATGGTGCATGCACTCAGGGGCCAGACATAACCGGGCAGTAAAAGGCTGGGAGAACATTCCAGAAGACTGAGCACTCTTAGCATTCCCAAAAGGCGCCAGCCCTTCTGATCCTTCCTGCACGGTGCTAGGATGCACCCCCACCAGAAACTCAGAGTACGCTAGAATCCCCTGGAGAACTTGTAAAACACATGTGCCCAGGGTCCAGAGTCCCCATGTTAAAATTGAACTTGGGTGACTCCGACTCAGGTGGCCCCAGGCACTTGGGGAAACAGCACTTTGGAGGCTGCCCTTCACACACACACTTCACAGCAGGTGGGCAGGGAGCCAGGTAAATCTCCTTCCCAAAGGGCCTTGGAGCAGGCGAAGGCAAGAGCGCCCTCGGAATGCGGCTGTTAGTGGCAGGAGTGCGGCCTGTGGGTGTTCTGGTCAAGCCGGCCGGCTGAACCGGGGCACCCACAGGCCGCAGCAAGGGCTCCTGCAGCCGGGCTGCGCTGGCTCCCAGCCTGCCTCTGCCATTCTCAGACCGTGTGGCCTTGGGCAGGTCTCCTGCCTGACTTGGTCAGAATCGACAAATAGCACCTGTCCAGGATTCACACCCACGTGTGGCCCAGAGAGACAGCTCACGCCAGTGACCTTGCTCAGCAAGCGAGGGACCCACAGGCAGAACCAGGAAAACTGGCCAAGTGCCCCATTCATGCGAGTCCCGCGGCACGGTTAGTCTTGCATTTTCTCATCAAGCTCTTACGGAGCGTGCACTGAGCGCCAGAGGGGAAAAGCCACGACGGAGCTCTCACCGTGGCTGGCACAGAGCAGCCCACGAGTAAGCTCCGCCTGCACAGAGAGTCCCTGCACCTTCGTTTTTGGCTGACATTCTTGGCTCAGGGGTCACCATGGCCTGGTTCCCTTCCCTGGGTCACCAACTCAGGTTGAGGGGCCTTTGCTTCACAAGGCCACCCCGCTGGACCTCACCAAGACACCTGCCACAGGCCTCATGCCCAAAGAGAAGCATGGGCCATCCCGGACCCTCAGAAGAGGGCACCTGTGGGGTCAGGGGGCTGGAGCCCGGGACTTACATGGAAGAAACGAGAAAAAGAGTGCTTACACGGGGCAGGGCTCCGGGGTACCCGAAGGCTGTGGGACAGGGAAAGAGGGTGTCACGTGCTCTGAGTGACTCAAGGCAGCAGATTGAGGGCCACAGGGTGGCAGTGCCTGGGAAGGGTTTTGAATTATCAGAGGGAAAGGACTTGTAGGAGCAGAACAATCCAACAGTGGGTGGGTCGCCTGTGGCTAAGACTCCTCGCGCAAACCTGTTCTCCAGGAGCGGCCAAAGGACCTCTGGTGCCACAGCTAAGAGCGGGTTGCCTGCCTCAGTTTCCCCTCGATTATAAAATGGAAATAGATAGTAATGGTGCCTGTCTCGTGGGATGTTGACAAAGATTCAACGAGATAGTAAGCACAATGGGTGGCACACTCCCTAACTCTCAGAGGCTGTGACTGCCTGAAGACAAAGGGCAGTGGAAGCACAGCCAGAGTGAGGCTGGTCACAACCGAGGGGGACCCAGGAGGCTTCCCGGGGAGGTGCTGTCTGAGCCAGCCCTGAGAGGGGGACTGGGGCAAGGGGAGGTGTGCATGGTGGGAGGCATGGTGGAAGGTGCTGGCTTTGCAACCAGCCCCCCGGGACCACTTGGACTCAACACCCCCTGCTGTTAAAGGGGCCAGTGAAGGCCCCTTCAGGTGGTCATGAATCACAGAGGAGGCCATGGAAACTAAGCACAGGCACACACCCTGCAGGTCTGTGTCTCAGACTAGGGAAACGGCGCATCAGTGCAACCATCTGCTGAGCACCTACTGCATACATCGCCCTCTCAGACAGCCAGAGGAGAGCAAGGCAGGACTGCCACCAGCAGCCAGTCTACAGGGACAGGCACAGGTGTCTTAGGTCTTCTGAGCCCTTGGGGTCTGGGTCCCGGCTGTACCTGCCGAGAGCCCTGGTAACAAATATGTGTCATCCATGCCTTAGGCGAGAGACCTGGGGACCTGCTTCAGGTGATGGTGCAGGAAAAGCACAAATTAAGGATGCCACGGTGCTTTGGAAACTGCCAGAGGTGGGGGCAGAGCCTGGCACACGACACATACTCAACAGATAAAGGAATAGCCACTCCAGTGCCACACGGCTCCCTGCTCTGTGGGGACCTGAAATGCCAGGGTTGGGGGAAGCAAAGGTCAGAGCAGGCACGAGAAACCCAGACATACCCAGACATCCAGATGGTGTCCAGCCGTCAGAATGCAGGCCAGGGTGACCGTGAAATCCAGGTCACTCCTGCCTCGGCCAGGGGGCAGCAGCCGATCTCAGGGTGAGCCGATCACACGCTGACCCCACTGGCTAGAGTGGAAGAGGTGCTGACCTCCGGCCTGCCTATGTCCTGGCCGTGAACCTCAAGCACATGTGAACTGCTGAGCCAGGAGCCACCCAGAGAGCGTCTCGCACACCAGCAGAGACCACAGGCAGGGACTGCCCTGCGCCTCAACTTCCCCTCTGCAAGATGGGCACTACGCATAGTCGCTGTTCTCAGTAGGCAGGAGGTGGAGGGTTGCTGGGAGGACTGGATGAGTTGACACAAGTAAACTCCCACAGACAGAGAAGACGACGCATTGTGGGGTCCACTGCGCCCGGCAGGCCCCGAGAGGCAATGCGGGGCCGCGGGAGGAGCAGGGACCCCAGGTCAGAGTGACAGGACTTTCCCTGTCACTCCACGGAGCCCCTCACCTCCCCGCTTCACTTTCATCTGTTAACCAGGATGGTCCCCAGGCCCACCCGCCTTCTGTAGTTGACAAGGTTATCACAAAGATCAAACAGGATGCCCTGTGCCAAGGTGCTCTGGAAACTGCAGGGTATGGGGTGTGGGAGCCCCATGGGCCATGGAACAAGCAAACTGCGTGCACATCCAAGTGGGGTGTGACCAGAGAGCCACCCAGGGCCACTCTTCAAGCCCTGGAGACCCCCTCATGTCCCTCAGCTCACCCCTTTAAACCTGGGCGAGGGCCACCATTTTACCTTCTTTCTAGTGTTTCCCAAAGAATGAGTTTCCAGAAGACGAATATCCAACTTGTTCCTCACCCAGTGCCGCCTCAGAGGCCATCCCGCCTGTGGGGAAGGCTCCTCCCACCCGAGCCCGACTGGAGCCTGGGCCCTCTCAGCAGCTGTCCCTCAGTCCCATCAGCAGGGGACAGGTGGACGGTGCACACAGGGCTCTGAGCCAGACCGCCTCAGGTCCTGGCTCTGCCACGAGAGCTGTGACCACTCTGCCTCAACTTCCCCCTCTGTAAAATGGGTTATATGGATCACACTGACCCCCGGGAGCACTGTTTGGATGAGCTCACATAGGTAAAGGGCCCAGAAGCCTGTCTAGCAAGTAGCAAGTGCTGTGCGTTAACATTTTGTCATTGTCTGTTTTCTTCCTAGAACTGCTAGGTAAACATTTTAATGTTTGGTGTTTAAAACCTTTGTCTAAAAGAAAGTTTATGGGTGGGTTTTCCCCATTATAAAAATAAGTAACACATGATCATTTTGAAAGATGAAAAGAGAAAAGAATTTTAAAAAACCACATGGATAACATCTTGGTGAGTAGCGGGAAGCTGCCTGGTTCATGCAGCTGGGATCTGCCCAGATGAACACTGTCACATCCTGTTTCCTGTAGGTCATCTCTGCAGCTCAGCAGACCCCTCCTGGGGGCAAAAGCAGCATCTCACCCCCGACCCCATGGCCACTCACCTTAAACCTCTCGGTGACACCCTCAGTGATGCTGACGGTGAACTCAGCGATTTTGGGAGGACGTGCTTTCCCCTTCTTGCGCTCAGGTTCATATTCAGTCTTGGTTTTCACGACCACCTTTCCCAGGAGACAGAGAAGCAGAAGGTCAGTGGCACAGCCAGATGCATTAGGACACATCTGCCCAAAGAGGGGGTCCGGGAACTCTTATGTTCAAAGTCACCATTTCGCCAGGAAGTAATTCACAAAAGGAATGAGAACAGGCCCTACTTACTGGAACTCTCCTCTCCCTGTGCCAGGACTTTTCAGGGACATTACCCGTTAATATCCTGATAGCAACCCCAGGAGGGAAACATCATAACTGAGGGGCAGAGAAGCTAAGCTCACTGGCCAAGGTCACGTGGCTAACAGGTGGCAGGGCAGGAATGCAGTGTGGCATCTGACTCCTGACCCGGCAGAGCTCCCTCCGCCCAGCAGAGCCAAGGCCCGGGAGTCAGGAGACCCGCCTGCTTTGTTTTGGTCTTCATGTGCCGCCACGGGCGTAAGGAGAGACGCTCCAAGCGCTCCTCCACATCCCTGCAGGACTCGGCCGAAGGAGCAGGCCGCCAGCCCGTCAGCAAGGAGATCTGGGGTTGGCCTCCTCGTCTGCACGCCGCATCCCCTCTCCTCTGCCTCAGCAACTTGCCCCCAAAGGGTCTCCCTGCCCTCACTCCCCCACCCCCACTGCAAGGTGGGAGCTGTTTTTCCAATATGGAAACTGACTCTCACCTCTGCCCGGCACAGACCCCAACCCTGTGTCCCCACCAGCTCCAGATGGACCATGATGCCCCGTGTGGCCCTGGCCTCACCGGCACTGCCCCATCACACTCTGTTGACAGGGACTGTTTACGTCTCTGTCCCATTGGAGAGGGAGGTGTTTCCAGAGCAGTGTTGAGGGGTGACATAGCTCTGATCCCCAAACCCCACTCCCCAGAGCAAGTGCCTGGAGGGCTGCTGGATGGGGGAGAGCCAGCCGGCCCCACTCTCTGCATCCCCAAGTGAAGATGCCCCTTCAGTGGGCATGCACGGTTTGGAGGAGACACCTGCTCTCTAAGGCAGAGAGAATCCAGCGACTCAGGATGGTCAGTCCCGGGAAGGCAGCTGGAGGGACTCTTAGCTCAAGCTGTGACCCCTGAAGCCAGCTTCAGGGAGCAGGAATGGGGTCAAGTGGCCCGTGCCAGGTGTCACTGAAAAATGATCCCAAGAGCCAGAACCCTTGTAACCACACTCCTGGACTCGCTCCCTTCCACGGCCTCACCCACGCTGGAGGAGGGGTGCCCACCCTGCGAAGCACCCGTGTCTTGAGGCAGTACTTGAGTGCACTTTGCCATCCTCAGATCCCAGCGGTGCCCAGCTAGCTGTATGAGCACACACTGGCCACCTGGAGCCACTTCGCTCGCCTGTGAAATGGGAGCCCGCCGTGTCCTCAGGCTACTGTGAGGATGAGGAAGCCGTGGAACCCTCAGCCCAGCGTGGGAACTTGGGCAATATTCCGCTGATCTGGATTCTATCTCCATCTGTCGCTAAGTGGCTAGGTGGCCTTGGACAGGTCCCTTCCACTCTCTGTGCCTCCATGTCCACATCCGTACACTGTGGGTCACATTGGTAGTTACAAGAGTTCAACCTGGAAAGCTCACGGAACAGTTCCTGGTTCAGAATAAATACGTGCCCACCGCACATCAGGTGAGAGCCCTGATGTTGCTGCCAGCTGTGACCACTGCTGCTGTCGTGCCTCCAGCACCTCGACACTTAGTACACATTCTCAGAATGGATTCTGTTTACAACCCCTCATAAGCCATGCCACCTGGGACAGGTGACTTTGTCTCCCTGAACCCTGGCTGTTAGTAACTCGCTGCTGTTGTTCAGGCTAAGAGACGTCTTGTGTGAGAGACGTTTGGCTCCAAGCAGGGCAGAGTGAGGCACTGCCAGAAACTTCTGCATCCTGGAGGACTGTAACCTTCAGCCAAGTGACCTTGGGCATGGCCCACAAACTCTCTGAGACTCAGTTTCCTTATCTGTGATCTTGGAAACCTTCTAGCCCAACCATCAGTCCCTGCTGGAATTCCCTTCTCTGGAACACCCTGCCGGATGGCCCCTTTGTTCCACTATTTCCAGGGATAGGACACTTGTTACCTTTTGGAGCTACCTAAACTACCCCTGCTTGGCCAGGGTTTCATACCTGCCCAAATCCCTACACCTTGTATAAACCCACGGTGCAGACGGTTCTGGAATGGAACAGACCGAGGGCGAAAGAGGAGGCTCAGGCCAAGCAGAGGGGATCACCTGACAGAGGTGCTGCCTTGGGAAACAGAACTCCTGGCGCCAGCACCACACTCCGCATCTGAGCAGCTGAGGGGCCAAGGCAGCAGGGGAGGTGGGGGCCGCGGGGCCAGGTTCGCCAACAGGACAAGTCTGATGCCTAGACAGGGAGGGGGGAGTGCTCGGTCAGCCCTGCCCCTTCTGCAAAGCCCAGCCTGGACCACAGTGCCCCAGAAGGACCCCATCGAGGCCTAGGGGGCATGGATGTGACCAGCTGAACCCCCTTTCTCTAACTGCTGCCAGCCTCTTCCCTCCCCTGCCTCCCCCCACCCAAAACACAGACAATAGAGTTGGGAGCTGAGCCAGCCTCTCAAGCATCCACCCTAGGAATACAGGACCCACCACAGGGGCTCCCCCCACTCGCCCCTGCCTCTGGCCAGCAACCACCAACTTTGCAGAATGAACACAGAGCCTGACTCAGACCTCTTCACCAGGGACCAATGAGACAATAGACATAAAAGCACTTCGGGCAATAAAGTGAGCTTGTTCGTGGCAGGGGTGGTTTTTAAGCAGCGAGAGAGTAGGAATGGATGCTGTGTTTGCAGTTTGAGATCTGAGTTTTACAATACAATTGTCTAGACTTCCAATGACGTATTTGCCTTTTTAAGTGTTAACTCTTGAAAATATTATCCTTAATGGATACAAACTACTCGATTGGAAGCTGCAGTCAAGAAAAGACAGGATTCTTTAAATTCAGCAAAAAACACTTTGGGGAAGGCTGATGAATGGCTGTTCCCAGTCACACTAGTACTGAGCGAGCCCAGATACTGATTTGGAGATTTCGAAGAAGGAACAAAGAGAAGGAGGCCGCCGAAGAGCCCACACCCTCCTGCACCCAGTGCGGTCTGGCAGGGGTGGGCGAAAAGGGCCGGGAGGACAACTGAGCACTGAACGAGGCCGGTCTGGCCAAGGAGAGGGCTTCCCGCCTCCGTGGGGCAGACTGGGTGGAAACTGCACCCCCCGGGGAGACCCAAGAGGCAGCCACGCACCCCTGGGCTCGCCCAGACCCAGAGCCCCTGGTGCCGCGGGGCAACGGAGGAGCGGGCCGCTGGGGGCCGGGCCGCTCACCGACAGGACTCCCACAAAAATCCAGAAGGGACCTTTCCCCACCGCGTTCCATTGTCAGGACAGGCTGTCATCTAGGGCAGGGGCCCCGACGTCACCTGATCCAGAATCCCGCGCGGGCACATTGTCCTCGCCCGGCTTCCTCCTGCTGCCAGAGCGCGCCCCCACTTCGCGTCCCCAGCGCACGCGGCGCGTTTCTTTTGTTGCGGTTTCGGGCCAAGATTTCGGGGTGCGCACCCGGCGGGGTGGGGGTAAGGGGGGCCCTTACCTTATCCGGGGGCGGGAACTGCAGTTGATTGACATCGAGGGGCGTCATCAGAGGAATGGTGTCGAAGCCATCCTCCAGCAGCGACTGCTTGGCGCCCTTCTCCGCGAAATTGTTCCCCAACTTCACCATGGTTGCGGGGACCCGAGGCTGCAGCCTGCGGACGGAGGGCCGGGCGGGAGTCACCGGGAGCAGGACCCGGGCGGGGCGGGCGCACGCGGGCTCCCCACGCCCTCCGCTGTCCCGGGCTAGTCTCCGCGGAGGGGTCGTGAGGACGTGGCGGTCACGGCCATATGGGGCGGGGGGGTGCCGAGGATCTACGGACCGGACTGTCGTCGCCCGGGCGCTGGGGCGCTCAGCAGCTGGGGAAGGGGGCGCCGCCCCTGCACAGCCCGACTAGACGAGTCCGTCATCCGGGGCCGCTGCGCCCGGGTGGCCCGCCCGTCCACCCCGTGCATCCGCTCGGGGAGATGCACATCCCCCAGGCCCGCTCCCCGGCGGCAAGGCCCCGGCCCCGGCCCCGCGGGGCCTGGCCGGCCGCACTCACCCGCGCCGGCGCCGGCAGGTCTGGCTGCGCGCTCCGAGCCTCCGCGCCGCCCGCGCCCGCTCGCAGCAATGGCGGAGGCGGCGCCGGGCGGGGCAAGGAGCCGGGGCTGGGCGGCCGCCCCCTCCTCCCCGCGTGGCAGCCTCCCTCCCGCCGCCCCCGGGGGCGCCTCCGCGCTGCCGCAGCGGTCGCACAAAGCAGCGCGGGGCCGGGGAGGGGCTGGGGCGCAGGGGGACGGGACAAGGGCCCGAGGGACCAAGCGACCCCCGAGGCGGGGTGGAGAGAGGTGCGGGCCCGCAGTCGCGCCGCGCCCACCTGGGGGTCCTCAAGGCGGCCGGGAGGGCGCGTCCCTGATGGGGGGCGCGCGCGGGCAGGGAGGATGGAGCTCCTCGGGGTGCGGGAGCAGCGCTCTCCGAGAGCCGGGTGGGGCTGCTCCGGGGCGCGGGGCGTATTCAGGGCAAACGGGGCGCTCGGCGAGCCTCGCTGGAGCGCGGGGAGAGCTTGCTAGAGTCTGGTCGGAAGAGAAGGCGGGAGTCCCCCCACTGCGGCCGCCGCCCAAGCGCAGAGGGGACCGCTTGAGCGATGCCGGGACTGGAAAGGCGGCGGGGTCGTTCTGGCCTGACCCGCGCCGCTCATCCACCCCCTGCGTGCGGCCGCTATCGCAGCTGCCCAGATGAGGAACCGTTTTGCGGCCCTCCAAGCCGCTTGCCCAGCCTGCAGGACTCACCGGTGAAAGGCGTGTGGGAGGGAGGCGAGCTGGGCGCGGGCCTGCGCCCGGAGGACGCGCTGCTGCCCGGGCACCTGGGCCACGCGCTGGGCACCGCCAGGGCAGAGGAGGCGACTCCGAAGTCGTTATTGTCACACCCTTTGCTCAGGTTTCCCCTTTGCACTGGCGAGGGTCTGAGGCCAGGGGTTTTCAATCAGCCAACTGAGATCAGGAGAACGCGGGGAATGAACCGAGAAAGTGGAGCAGCCGCTGCAGAGCCTGAGCCAGCCCCAGGCCCACTCTGGGAATTTGCCATGAGTGCCCTGGTTTCAAAATCCTCAGGAGGGCCAGCTCATTTTGACAGGAGACTGAATATCTCCTCTTAACACGCCCAGGGTCTAAGCTACCTTTGATAGCAGGTCAGCCCAGCCAGGGCCCAGGCTTGTGGCCACCCTGGGTAAGACCAGGAGGGCAGTTGTCTCAGGCTCTGGTCCCTGCCATAGGCCTTGGGGAACCACTGAAGCCACCTCTCTGGCACTCTGGTACCTTCCTGCAGCAGGGAAGAAGAGTAGTTAGAAATCTGCCCAGGTACCAGTTTGTAGGTGTCAAGAGAAAGAAACCCTGTAGGCTTAGGCAAGGGAATGGCTTTTTCCCATCTCAGGCCCAAGCATTTTCTAGAACCCAACACACACACACACACAGTCCCACACAGGGAGGAGCAATTTGGGGCCTCTCCCTCTCCCTGGAAGACTCCACCAGCTGAGGAGGACAAAGGCAGGAGGACCCAGGCTGTGCTGAGGCAGACAGTGGGCAGTCCAGTTTCTGCCTGTTCACTGTTTTGAGCTCTCTTGGGTTCTGACTGGTGCTGGTCACTGGGTCTCCGCTGTTTCATCCTGTGTGCTTTTCTTCCTCTGCTAATTATGTCTGGGCCCTGGGAAGGGCACGGGCAATGCACCAGACACACTGCCTGCCCACAAGGAGCTTAGGGCCAAGGGAAATAAAATGACAAGTCTCTGGGCCGAGCAGTGGGCCTGGGAGGGAAAGGCCACCTCTCCTGCTAATAGGGAGAGAACCAGGAGGCTGTGGATGGAGCATGCACCTCCACAGGGAGGCCTGAGAAAGGTGTGTGCAGGGAAGGCATGCCAGGTGGGGGAACAGAGCATGCAAAGTGCATTAGCTTCCTGTCGCTGCTAGAACAAGTAACCACAAACTAGGTGGCTTAAAACAAAAGAAATGTGTTCTCTCCCAGTTCTGGGGGCAGAAGTCCAAAATCAGGTGTCAGCAGGGCCTCACTCCCTCTAGAGGCGGTAGGGGAGAGCCTGTTCCTTCCCCTTCCACTTCCGGTGGCCCCAGGCATTCCTTGGCTCCTGGCTGTGTGGCTCTGATTTCTGCCCTCACTACTCCAATCGCATGGCCTTCTTCTCCCCTCTGTGTGGCTCTCTCCCTCTGTGTCTCTTACGAGGACTCTCATCACTGGATTTAGAGCCTACTTGGATAATCCAGGATAAGGTCCCTCTCTCAAAATCTTTAACTCAATCACATTTTTGTCATATAAGATAGCATCCACTCTTTCACCATGTAAGGTAACAGGTTCCCGGGGTTAGGATGTGGCTATGTCTTTTGGGGGCCACCATTCAGCTCCCTGCAGGCATTAAGCCTGCCATGGCGCAGTGATTCAGGGAACCCAAGTAATTGACAGGGGGCTACAGAGATGAGGTTGAAGAGGCCACAGTCACATAAATGGGAAGGCTGAAGCTGTGAGGATGGTTGTGGATACAAAGGTGTCAGGTATTTGTACAAATACGAATGTGTACGAAAGTGAAATGATCAGGACTTGGTCTCCCCACAGACCCGAATTTCATCCTAACACCAACGGTTTGATTCCAAGGATCACAAAGGATTTTTGACACGTATTCATTTTTCTAAATGACTCTTTTAGGGATACTTCCAGGGTTAGGGATCTCAGGGACAAACCCATCACTGCTTGGACAATTGAAGTAACTCCTCCCCACAACTTCCTTCCACAGGGCAGCCAGATGCTGCATGGTGACACTCAAGGCCAAGCTTGTCATTTCAAAGTCCAAACCTTTTAGCAACTTCTCTTGTCCCACTGGTTGAAGTCCAGACTGTCACAGCAAGAGGCAATGTGACACAGTGGCTAAGCCATGGCCTGATTTTGGTTTTGTTTTTTTTGGTGTTTTTTGAGATAGAGTCTTGCTGTGTCGCCCAGGCTAGAGTGCAGTGGTGTCATCATAGCTCACTGCAGCCTCAAACTCCTGGGCTCAAGAGATCCTCCTGCCTCAGCCTCCCCAGTAGCTGGGACTACAATCACACACCCCCATGCCCAGCCAATTTTTCTATTTTTTGTAGAGGTGGGGTCTCACTCTTGCTCAAGCTGGTCTCGATCTACTGGCCTCAAGCGATCCTCCTGCCTCGGCCTCCCAGAGAGCTATCATGCCTGGTCCGTGACCTGATTTTGAATCCTCTCTCCCTCTTCCTGGCTGTGTGACTTTGGGCAAATTGCTCAAACTTTCTGTGCCTCAGTTTTCCCACCTATGAAATGCAGATAATAATGCCTTTATCATAGTGGTGTTGTAAGACTCAAATGAGTTATTATTATATTTTTTTCAAAAACAGTGCCTGTTTTGGCTATTACTATTACTTTGACCTCTAATTCTGTACCCCTGGGGTCTCTATTCTTAGCAGCCTATACTGGAGCCAGGACAAGGTGATCAACACATTTCATGGTTATATGGTTAGTGCTCAGAGTGACAAAGGTGACTATTCCCCAAAGTCCAGTGAGCCTCTTTGTAGCTCAGAGAAGTCCAGTGACTAGTTGCAAGCCCCACAGTTCCCCGCAGAGGGAGGACAGGCTGCAGGCTCTAGTCGGACTTCCCCACAAGCAGCCCAACACCTGGCACAGGTGAGTGCCGCGCGGGGTGGGTGGCCACCCAGGGCCGTCGGCACATGGAGATTTGGTGGTGGCTGCAGGAATCAGCTGCGGGTCGGCCCCGCGTGTCCATAGCTGGCCATGTTGATCCAGATGTGCTTCGTCCAAATGTCTTTTTTAAAAACCGAGACATAATTCACATGCCACAAATATCACCATTTTAGTGTACACTTCACAGTTTTCAGTACACTCACAAAGTTGTGCAACCCTCACCGCTAATTCCAGAACATTTCATCATCCCATAAAGAAACCCTGTACCTGAGAATAGTCACTCCCCATTATCCCCTGCCCCAGCCCCTGCCAGCTCCTAATCTGCTTTCTGTGGATTTGTCCGTCCTACACACATCTTCATTTCTGATGGCTGTAAGTTTCTCTGGTCTGCTTCTCAATTCACAGAGTCAACCAGCACACTGACATGGACCAGGGAGAGAAGTTAGACTCCATCTTTGTGCACGTGGGGAAATCCATTTGTAATATGAAGAATCAGCCCATTTGGGTGGAGTCATCCCTGTCTCTCCTTGAACCCTGTACTCTAGCCAAACTCCCCATTCCCCAAGCACCTGCCTTTGTGAACACTGCCTCCTTTGCCTGGAAAGCCTTCCCCACCCCCTTGTCCGTTTGGCAAACTCGTATTGATAGTCCAAAGCCCAGACCCAGTGTCACCTCCTCTTTGAAGCCTGGCCTTTCTGTATGCTTCTCTGTCCTGGGGTCTGGGTGTTTATGTCTCTTTCTAGATCATGAGCAAATCCAGGCAGAACAACGTGATCTTTCATTTCCATATCCTGCACGTCTAAAACAGGCCCAGTATACCGTAAATAATCAAGAAATGTTTGTTCAATTGGATAGGCACCCACTTATTTTACACTCCCAATAAATTCACACGTTTAAAGTGTAAAGCCAAGTTCAAATGTGTAGTAAGAAAATTCATGGCCTAATTCACACTGAAGGCAGGGTTGCCTATGACATCATTGTGACATTCTCTCGCCTAGACTTAATCTTACTGCAAAATGCTCATTTGTGGGAAACTCCAAACGTTAATATTTAAAATACATGATATATAAATGAAATCATAAACACAACCACTAATGGTCTCCAGTGTTTTACTGACCTCTGGACTTCCTGGCACTTGGACACATGAGGTGCTCAGTAAATGGTTAAGGAATGGAAAGACCATGTTTTTGTTTCTTTGCTTATACTCATAGAAACTGAGTAAATACTATTATGGGACTCTAAGTCATTTAATGACCTGTTATGTATTGAGACAGAGCTGCATGCCTGTGTTTAGTTTTGGGTTTTGGGGGAGGGTTGTTTGTAGTTGTTGAGGCTTTGCCTCAGAGCATTCATGAACCGCTCAGCAATTCATGCTTTCTCCAAGTTATTTCTAAGATCCACTTTGCTTCGGCTGTGAAGCCCTTGACCTTGGGGGAATGTGAGTAATAACAAGATGGCCAAAGGCTCTGGCGAGTGGCCCTCTGTGGACCTCAGTTTCCTCATATGTAAATTGA